TATCACCAATTATACAGAATAGTGAGAATTAAGCACTGTTTCACAGAAGACATGCATTCCATAAACTGCAACAAAAATGACAGGGACAATGAGAGACTGTTGGTGGTACTGCATACTGGGACCATTGCTTTTTTAAGCACTGCTTACCATTAAAGATGATCTAAACCTTGCAACAAAACTGTAATTTTACCTGAATTTAGCCCTCATATGCAATAAATCCATAGGAAAAACTACTAATCATCATCACAGCTAAACGCACAGAAATGTATATTTTAGAGATACAACTGACAGGTCAAATATTACAGATTCCAAATGTTATGGACAATTTGCCTTGCAGTTTCTGAGGATTAGTAGTATAACTTTGCAGACCCTTACAAGAACAACTAAAGCTCAAAAAAAAAAAAAAAAGAAGACATGTCATGGACAGCACACAGTTAGTATAAAAATTAAATATGACAGGTATTGTATTCACTTTATCATTGTCTCTGCTCTCAGATGGAGCAACAGCGAATGGTGTGGAATACAATTCTAACCACAAATGATTATGACAAAATGCTTTTAAGCCACTGAACTGAGTTTCAAATTTATTCAAAACTCACCATAAGCTTCTCTTCCACAGAAGAAATGATTCAACTTCCCTCTCCTGTCTGCTTTCTCCATTATATCTAAGCATAGTCCCCACGATTTAGATCCTGATACGCAACCGCTTCATTTTACGAACGTACTTTTAAAATCCCTCATGCTGATGCTGTAGCAGACAAGCTAATACAGGTTTGACGCTGTTAAAGCGATCCTTTCCTGCCATCTAGGGGACACACACTGGTGCGCAGGGGATTGTCTTCACAGTTACATGCAGGAAAACTTCCCATGCAAAATGCTTATCTCTACTCAGCAAAACAAAATTCAACTGAAGAGTAGCACAACTACAAGAAACAAACCTAACTGCAGAGACCATATGCATAAGTTTAATTCTGCTATAATCCTAAAATTTTCTACAGTAAATTTCAATTAAATGCCCAGCAAAAACATTAATGAGATAATTTAAGCCTCACTTTTAAGATGCACGACCATGTCTTCCAAGCTACTAGGTCTCATGTAAAGCCGCCTGATTTTCCTGGATACCTCAAGAAAGCAAGATCTATGCTGCTATAAACAGTGTGTAACTGCCAACAGCCAACACAGAGAGGAAAAGGTTTGAGCTGTCCGAGGTCCCCAAAAGCAAGGAAGTCAGCAAAGCATAGTTGTATCATACCTGTTATTCTGAAAATTTAGGTCAGTGTCAGAACTGAGCTGAACCTGAAGCACCTTCTTTCTCAAGCCCCATCCTCCTGCCTGTATGATGAGCACACATACTGCGTGACAGCACGCACCTTTTTATTGATCTACCCCAAGCAGTAAAATACATAAACACTCAATGTCAAAAGATAGAATCATAGAATGGTTTGCATTGGAAAAGACTTTAAAGATCATCTAGCCCCAACACCCCTGCCACAGGCAGGGACACCTTCAACGAAACCAGATTGCTCAAAGCCCCATCCAACCTGGCCTTGAGCACTGCCAGGGATGGGGCAGCCACAGCTTCTCTGGCCAACCTGTGCCAGTGGCTCAGCACCCTCACAGTGAAGAACTTCTGTACGTATTTTAGAAGTTGTTTAAGTTTGTTCCAACATTCAAGTTCCTACTGCTAGTGTTGGCATCGTTGTCTTGTTTTTCATACTTGCCCTCTTCCCTGTTGCCTTCTGAGCTCTTTCACAGGGCAAACTCTACAAAACGAAAAAGCAAACTCGGCTGAATACTACACACAGCCAAATGCACACACAAAAATCTGAACAATTTTTTCCTGCTCTTCTGTTTGGATTTGTTTTATTCTTACTTTGAAAGGGAACAGTCCACTAAAACAAACACCACCCTTTGCTAAACCAAACAAAGACTCTGCTTCTCACGGCTGAAATGATGTGAAAGTTTCTTTAGGATCAAAGTTGGAGCTTCTCCCAAAATGAAAGGAAGCAGGTGTCCAACCAAGATGTTTTGTGAACTGGCTACAGCTGCACAAGACACAGGCCTAGGGGTTGAAGATTAAACGCTTTTCCCAACCCCTACACATGAAAACGCCGTGCTACTTTGACACCTCTTCACCAAAGAACACACACACAAACCCCCCAGATTTAACAAAACAACTCAATTTTATTTAGATAAGAATAATAATGTAAGAGTAGCTATGCCCAAGTCATCTGAATTTCTTGAACTGGAACATAGTATATGCTTGCATAGCACAAGCAGAAGTTTGACCAACACTGCTGCTGGGGAAAAAAAAAAGTCTCCATATTGTATTTATGTAAATTGTTATTTACAGAATAAAAAAGGAAGGTCTCCTGCCAAGATCAGAATAACAGCACACACTTCAGAACAAAAACCCCGGTGGTGAAGAGCAAGCCTTACATTTGATACAGAAAAAGCTTGAAAAGATCAACTAGAAAACTGCTAGTGCCCGTAGGCATTGGAGGAAGCTGTGACATGGATCCCAACTGTTAAGACAGCCTGCCTTGCTAAACTTTAGGAAAACTGTGCCCCTGTACTAGAAACTGTTTTCCAGGATCTGCAGAACATCCAGCAGAACATCCCCAGATTAAGTGTCTCGGAAATGGAGACAGGCTAGGGCTAGAGGGTAAACATGAACACAGATAAACTGAGAGAAGATTCTTAAGCTCTGCTCCAAAAGAAAAAAAAAAAAAACCAAAATACAACAGTGAAATAAAATCTGATTTAGCAAGACAGCTGTATGAGGAAAACGTAGCTTCCTTACCAAAACCTATAGCGTATGACCACCTGTTTTTTTGTCTAGTACCTCACACGCTTCTGTCAGCATCTTTAGACAAAAGACTAACGTAAGGTACACCTTTAATGCAAACTGCCATGAACAGACTTATGAACAGTGAAAAATCTACACCATACATATTCAGGACCTCTCAGATTGAAGCTTGCACTTAATGAAGCAAATTACAAAGCAGTCACCTTCAGCCAAAAGTAGAATTTCTGTGCCTATAGTAAGAGTCATATTCCATCTTTAGTTTCCTGAAAAGAAAGCAGTTTGCGTCAGATTCAACTATTTGCAGAGACATCCATCTAGTCTTAGAAAAGTTGTGAGCTACCCAAAATTCCCTATTTTGTTGGCTTGTATCTACAAAATTTTCTCTTCATTTAACATATGCTTTTATTTCCATTATCTTAAGAAACTAACGCCTACAAGGATGCAAGTTTTCTGGGTTTGTTTTTTAAATGTGATAAAAAGTACGGTTTCAGGAAGGCAACTTTATTTACAGTGTTTCAGCAGGTATATTCCTATGAGAGAGATGCATCATGACCACTTCCTCCTAATCAAAGTTAGTATTACCTCAGGTGAGAGGCTGTACTTATTTTGTTAAATACAAAATCATGCTTTCTCCCCTCCCCAATCAATCAGAGGACTATACACCCAGACAGTGCTTTTTACAAATATGCCAGACTACATTCCGAATTACATGAACCTAAATCTAAATTACAAACTGAAACAAGAAACCTTATTCATAGTATTACTTTATTTTTTCATTTATAATTTACTTCCCTAACAAAAAATCTTGTTTTCACACATTAGAACGGTTGTCAGCATGAATGTCAGAGCAAGAACTTTTAGTGTCACATTTTATCATTGCCTTGCATTCCTCTCTTCTTTAAGCACTACTTTTAACTGATTTATTTTCTGAGCATTTTGACTTGATACTCAATAGTCTTTCTCCTAAATGTGACTTTTGCTAAACAACATCAATACACAACTTCATTCAACCAATCATGTTTACACATGTATTGAAAGTCTTCGCTTTAACACTTACGACAACTTTTAAAATTTCATTAAGCTTTGTTCAAATAAAATTGAAAGCAAATTGAAATTTACACACCATAAAATTTTATTAAAGAAAACTCAAGTGTGCTTGAATTATCAAAACAAGATTTACAACAAAACCATTTTGTAATTAAACGCCTACAGTCAATTACAAAATGGTTCTAGTAACCAGATTTCTTGTGGGTTTTACACATGCAAAAGTGCAGAGTGGTGCTTTTGGAAAGCCTGCCAAGCATTTATATAGGATAGATACCTGACTGCTGCTAGGATTCCACTGTTTTATCTGCACTATTGTTCTGTGGGGTTTTGTGGATTTTTGTTTGTTTGTTTTTTCTCAGATTTGGTGGTTAGGGTTTTTTTGGTGCCTAATGTTCTCAATTAACTTCATCTATAGCTTTAGATTCTCTTTACAGATCTAACTTCATTCATCCTCTTCGAACTGATTTAAGAGTTACTAGGTCCAATCTTTCACCAACTGTTTTTTCAAACGGAGGCTCCCTCCTTGTTCAACTTTCAGTTCCTAAATTTCAGGTGAACGAATCTAATTTGAACACCATCAAAAGTTCTCTGCTCCAGCAAAATAAACTAAAACCAAAAATTAAGGCAAAATATTTTCTCTGCAACAGAATCTGAAAACATATTTGATAGTAGGCAAATAAATGTCAAGATTAGCTTTGCTCTGAATTCTCCAGATACAGCACCATGACTTTGTCCTGTTTATTAACCTGGCTTCCCTTTTAATTTTGCATTCATTTAGAAAACAGCACTCTCACAAAAAGGTGAGGAAGACTCATTAATACAGTATTTAAAAATTTTAACAGGTTACAGTAAGTCTGCACATAACACTGGCTGCCATGATTCCAAATTTACTTATGAAGAGATTTATTTTTAAAAAGGTATTCAAGTTCTAAATGACTAAACCAGCACTTACTAACAAATTTTTAACGACTGCAGAGATGTATTTTTGAGTAAAAGAATCATATGCTAGATCTATGTACCAGAGAAACTAAGAATGAAATAGATTTCTTCTGATGCAGTTCAATTATATACCAGGTTAAAAGCCACCCCAGTATTAATTACAACTAACTCGTTCAGCATGTAAAAAATTACGTTCATAGCTATTCATTAGTTCATTAACTCCCGTGCTGCCTAGAACTCTGCTGACATTCCAGGAAGCCCAGCTTGAAATACAGTTACCCTTAGAGGCTAAAGCTATGCCAGAGTAAAGTCAACCTACTCGCTACTTTTTTGTTATTAAATAAACTGCGCCCATTTATGTAAGTTATATAAACTACTTAGAAAGAGGAAGTATGAAATATTGACAATGACAAAACAGTTTAAAAAGCTATCACTGAAAAAGTTAGAATACATATTCAGAGCAATTTCAACGCTTAAAACCAGATTCACATATGATCATCCAGTTGAAGATTAGTGTGTTAAAAAAAGTTAAGAAAATACTTTGTGTTTCAGTTCAACTGCACTTGATTCAAGTACAGCTTGGGGGTTGGCTGATATAAATTAAACATGGTCACTGCTTCAGCAGCCAGAAGTACAGAAAAATGTACATGTTCACAGGATAAATAGAAGTCTCTTCTTTTTTGGGGGAGGTGGGAGCATAGGAAAAGCAGCTATCTCACTCCAATACGGGAAGTCATCCACTCCAAGCCTTGGCATAATCTGAAAGATAAGAGATGTTATATTGGTACTCGTTCTATTCCAACATCTTTAAAGTATTTCCTACCTGGTTTTTTGTTTAAAAAACATCTACTTAAAATAAATAAAATCAGCTGGAATTGGGATTGAAACCTGAACAGAATAACCAGTGTTTCAAACTAAGTCTACTTAGGTTTTAACCACAAGAAGATGGTCAAGCATGTTATTTTACTGAAGCTTGGCACTCCATTTTTTTTCCTTTTGTAAATCTAAAACCCACTATTCTTAATATGATTACTCATAAGTACATGGAACCAAGTAAATTTTTCTCTAGGTTTCCCATGAAAGACTGCTTACTTGAAGGCAGGACCATTACACACTAATACTAAAAGACAAAGGATAGGTTACCCAGATGAATTGGTTCATGAAAACACAGTGTATCAGGAAATCCAAAATCCCATTACAAAATTAAACATGTTTATATTCAACACCAAAATTGCATGGAGTTTAATCTTCTTACTCACTCAATTTGTATTTGTTTAAATTCTTCCATTTCGTAAGACAGACTTTCCTTTAATTTACTAGGCATCTAGTTACCTAGTTTATGCCATCTTTAAGCTTTACTTTTTTAAAGTAATTCAAGACTTAGCTATCCAAGAAGAATAGCTTCACTCACATGGAGCTAATCTCCCTAGATGTCTGTTAGATCTTCCCAAGGAAGATTCAGCTCAGCAATTTAACTCTAGAAATTGTTTTATGAGTAGGTCTCACTACTGTCACAGTGTAAGTATTCCAATTATTGATTTTTTTTTTTCAGCCTCAATAAGAAAGTAGCAGCCTAGTATGGCCAATGTTTCGAAACCAAAATTCATATTCATGAATTTCTACCTTCCTCCAAATGCCAACTTGTTTGAAGATAAATGTAAGCTACTATATAAACTAAATACTCAAAAGTGACTTTATAGCAAAGCTGGTAGGAGGAAAGCAAAGTTAACTCTTAGAATGAATCAATACAATCCAAAGACTAAATCAAAACCCCCAATTTGTTCTTACAAACATATCTCACTCTAAGAAAGTGAACGCTACCAATCACTCTACAAGACATCTTTCTTATATTAGAAAACACTGCATGCTGGAAGTGAGGAAGATGCCTTCACTTCCCAAATATTCAGTTTATTCACTGTTTCGGCTGTCAGAAGACCACATTATTGTAAAGGTCATACAACAGCTGAAAAAATTATTACACATTAGAAGACACCTTTTAGAATCAAGATGAAAAATTAGCACACTTCAAACCATGTAAGCAAGACACTACCCAACTTGTTACAGGCATTCAAAAGTGCTTTTGATCTTTACAAACAAAGGATCTAAGGAAAGCTCAGCTTTCCATTTTAGTAATTGCTGGAATAAGGCATAAACATTTCAAAATTAGATACAAATAAAAGCTTTAATATTTGTAATAATTTTGGGTTATTCCAGATCTATGTACCTTCTCATCAAAATTCTGTTTGAATGCTTATCGAAATCCCCAACCAACCAAGAAGAACCACAAACATATCCACACCAACTCCTCCACCTTAAAAGCTTATGGTAGATCAGAATGTAAAGGAAAACAACAGTAGCTTATTTCTTCAAAGACACACAGAATGAGAGGGTAGCACACAGAGGGTAAAAAACTATATCAACAGCTACATATTTCGGGGATGGAGCACTGGGAGGGGAGTGCTATGTTGTGTGGCTTTGTGGTTTGTTTTTATTTTTATTGATTGATTTGTTTTACAATAAGCTGAAAGACTTCCATATAAATCTGGTTTGAGCTATGAAAAATATCCACAAGATTCAATAAAGAAAAGAAAATTTCAAAATGTTCCTCTGACTGCAAAGATCAGAAAACATGTTCTTTCAGGAAATCCACATATGTGTCAACAGGCTTCTAAATCAGTATTCTCATTTACCACATACTACTACACTAAGCAGTAAGCACTTACCCTTCTCCTGTCAAAGCACAACAGGACTGAATGTGCCACGGGTGATCCTTTATGGAGCTGAGGGTGAGGTATGTAGATATCTCAGCAGCTGTCATACAACCTTTCATGTCCTGCTTGTTTGCAAAGATAAGTACTGCAGCCTTCCGTAAATCCTAGAAGTAATTTAAAGCATTCGTAATAGGTATAAAATCAGCCAGGCAGCATAATTATCACTGGAAAAACATTCCAAAATCTACATTAGATACTATTCAAATGGAAAAGCCTGCCAGATATCATTCCCTTGAAATTACTTTCAAGTTCATTAAACAAGTTCTGTAGTGGTTAAAGCAATAACAATTTAAGAAAGCCATCTAAATTCTTGTAAGTTTTATCCTATTGGCTCAAAAAGGGAGCTCTAATAATGCTGCAGCATGTTTAGCAAAAACAGAAACTAATAAAAAGTTGTTTTGCTTATGTACAGAAATTAAAGATTCCACACAGCAATAAGACAGGAACTGGGATATATGGCTTTAGGAGTGCAGAAGGGTAAACAAATGCAATAACCAGGAAAACAACAGCTTTAATTAAAAGTGTTCAACACATTTCATTATATTTTAAGACTATTTCTTCATTAGGAGAAAAACAAAAACAACTAAACCCAACCCTCTCCACCCCCAACCTTTATGGTTCACAGTTGAAAATTCTGTCCTACAAGTAGTCCAGTCCAGGCCTACCAACTGTTTTCAAGAGATCACAATCTCTTAAGGGTTTATGACATAAATAAACTACATGGAAACTAATAAACTACATGGGAAAACTTCTCTGCGAGAAGTCATCCTTTTGGTTATGTGTTTGCTCCTTACTACCAGGCCCAACCTACATTAACTGTAAAAGTAAGAACTCTTTGAATGAAAAATCTCTCCAAGAAATGAGCTAAACAGAATTACTGCATTGTATTAAATAACCTTCAAAAATTAAAGGAAGTTATTTAGATTTAAAACCCCTAATTTAGATTGAGAGACATCACAGAAGGCTTCAATGTACTTCAGCTAATCTAATGTAGAAGTCTGAGGGAGCTGGCCCAGTGTTGGACAGTCCTCAATACAACACATAATAATAAAACTACAAACAAAACTCAGAAAACTGAACTGAAACTAATTTACCCAGAGTATTATATGTGCTCCTTAATTTTAAGGAACAGGATTAAAACAAACAAGAAAGAAATGGAACGGCTGATTTTCTAAAATCAGCAATCAGGTTACCCACTGCAAATAAGTAGTTTCTTAACATTTTAACCATTTAACTGAAAGATGAGATGGTGTGGTGAATGGTAATACCCAGTTAAATATGAAGTTTAAGATATTTTACCAGTTAAACATTTGCAAAGTGAAGAGCAATCTGATTATAATCAAGCAAGCTCGATCAGAAGTGCTTCATAATAAATTTCCTCTTTATTTACATGGTTTTAAAATGTGACCAACATGCATGCACATTTAGGCTCAGAAAGTTTTTTGTGACAGTATAATTTTTGTTAACGTAACAAGCAGGTAATGTTATTTGACTGTTCACAATGAAACTATTAGCCCAACTTCCACCATACCTCATGAGCCAGCATTCTATAAAGTTCTTCTTTTGTTATAGAAAGTCGCTCTCTATCTATGCTGTCAACAACAAGAATGATGAACTAGGAGAAAAAACAATAGTACAGCATGTAAGTACAAAGTGTAAACTGCAGAAAGCATGTTTTCAAGAGACGACTAACCACAAGTCTTCCTATGTAAGAGACCTAGACTTTCAGAGCACATGAGGAAACAGAACAAGAACATTATTGTGACAGTCTCTTGTTAGAGTCCTGGGAATCATACATGAAGATTATAGTTATAAAAAAAAAAAATAATTGTGCTTGTATATTTCAGCACTGCGTATTAAGGTCTACATTCACATACTATGATTAAATCCCCTTTGTGGATTTTTAGGCCCTATATCAGAAGATAATAATAAAATAGGTACCAAAAGCATCTACACATAGTGGATTACGTTTAAAATATGGATGACAAGCTTGCTACACAGTGATCAATGAAAGCAGCTATTACTCTCCACTACTACCTGCATACCTGGAAAGCTAAGAAACTGAAATTACAATTCCCTGTTCTTCAACAAGCATTTTTAACAATTTGGCATCATGTAACTCACAGGCTTAAGAAATGTTATTTCAAAGTAGACCTCAGAAAGCTATGTACCTGTAGGGTTTACCATTATGTTGTTGCACAACACCTTAACCTTTGTGAAGGGCCTGTGCAAGTTGGCCTCTCACTTTCAACACTGTACCCTTCCACCTAGGCACTTGGAGATGGCTACAGAAGTGATTTTAACCTTTCTGTTCCTGCAAGGCACATTATTCTCATGGCCATTTACTTGTGAATCCTGAGACACTGTTAGGTTTGGTGCAGCAGGTCTCCCATGAGAAGCAATTCTCACTGGTATGAAAACCACTTTCCATCCCCTATTTTGTATCTTCTATTTTACAGTCTTAAAATGTAAAGGAAAAAGATGTGGCATTAAGAAATAGGTAATACTCAAGTAAATGATTTTAAACATTACACAATAGTATTCGTACACAAACCATTACAACTGATCACTGTTCCTGCCCTGCCCAGTGTGCTTAAGCAGCACTAACAGCATCATAGGTGAGAACAGCAAGTAGGGAGATGAAGCACATTCTAATGAAGATTATACTGATACTATTAATTAAATAAATAAATACGTAATTACAGGGAACACATGCTATATTGGAGAGGAACCCAAGGAGATGATATTCCTCCCATGTCCCTTTCCCTCAAATCTCCTGTAGGTAAGCCTGTCTCAACATCCTTTCTGTAAGAATATGATCTGATTCTTAAAACAAAATTGCAGAATTAGCCTTATCAAGTTGAAAGTAATTAAGACAGGTTTGCACTGAAAAGCTTATTTGTGGGATTTTTACATTACTGCAAAGATTTTGTTTAGATTGTTTCAATTTACAGATAAGGAAAGAGAAAAGAGAGTAACAAAAAAGCATGAGAAGTCACCGCTATAACTCTACAACATATGCTCCAAATCACTTTGCTTTATAAAATTAAGGAGATTCATTACCCATTGAAAATGACCACAAAGTATGAAAAAATAAGTCAATTTAATGCTGCTGTGACTCTGAGATGTCTAAGCAGATGAGGAGGAACAATAAAGGAATTATTCATATCGGGGAGGCTAGGATTAGCATACTAAACAGACAGCTTTTCTTCCTCAATTGTTTCCAGCAGACGAAGCTTCTAAGTAAAGGGAAAGTTCTTTCCAAGTGCTAGAAAGCACTGGATTTCACACACTCACTAGCCAGAATATGACAAAGAACATCACGAAAGCATTAAAAAAAACCCTAATACATGCATTTCCCCAACTTCCAAAATAAAGGTTCTCTATGGACAAATGTCAGGAACTTATTATTATTGTACCAGATACTGCTGGCAGAAGTCTCTTCACCCTCAGGAGTATGCATGTGTCTTAGATGTAGCCATACTTTCCTAGATAACAATAAGTTAAAAATATTAGAGATGACGGTTGAGATGTCACCGCCGGGCTTTCAGTAGGCAAAAAGTTTCTGAACATCTGGGCGGGATCACTCATCTCCCCTCTCTCAAAAATGGGACACAGGAAAGAAAACATTTTACAGGACAAGAGAATGATTATATAATGAGTAATATGTACAAGAGACCTGTTTTAAGCAGAGGTCCTAAGAAGTGAAGTCTGAAAGTTTTTACATCAGTTCAGAAGTCTCAAAGTGAGGGTAGAGAGATTTATGTGCATGTTGTGTTGATAACATTTTGGCATCAAGAAGGCTGGCATAAAGAACAATCCTGCAAAGGAGTACTGCACAGCCAGGCTTCCTTTTATCCTTTGGATAAAAGCCACAAGCTGATGATCTTTTAAATACTGCTCCTTAGAATGTGTTTCACTTCTCATCCTTAATAATTGTTACCCCAAAAATATTTCAGACTAGATGTACAGCAGCTAGGTTACCCACTGCAAATCCACATCAAATTGGCAAAGTACATGGCAAATTTTTTTTAATCTACTTGAAAAACATGCAAAAAACCTGTCTGATCTGAAATGTATTTTGACATCATTTGATTGTCAGATCAAACAACATAACTGTAAAGTATACACATTGAATACTCCAAGTATTACCAGAAAATTGGCTGCAAACCAGACACGCCTTACACTTTTTGGGTTTATTCTTCCTCAAAAAGATTTAAAAATAATACAGCTGAAATCTTTACAGAAATTTACCAATATTCCTAACAAATAAATATACTTTCAAACAAACTTCTTGAATTTATAGAGTAGCTTCTCATACCTCTGTGTTTGAATAATAGGTATTCCACGATGACCGTAATGATTCTTGTCCTCCAATATCCCACATTAAGAAATGAGTGTTTTTCACCACTATTTCTTCTACATTGCTTCCTATTGTTGGAGAAGTATGAACCACTTCATTCATTAAGCTAAAGGAGAAAATATCACATGATAAAGACCTGCCAGTAAAATTCACAAGGCTTGTCACAACTCAATTACAACAAATTTCTTATTGAAAGAAGTAAATGTGTGTAACTCTGATAAAATAAGAAAGATTAAAAACTGTGATTAAAAACTATGCATATTTCAAAAAGCTGTAAATCTGATTTTTTATAGAAATAAAGCAAATATGTAATGTAATTTTATTAGAGCACTCAACTTTGTAACTCAGTATTAAAAAAATACCAAAGGACTGTTTGTTTACATAGCTAAAAATGTCTTTATTCGCCCTTTAAGCTTTGACTAAAGTGCTTAGGATAGAGTTTTTCTTGAAAATATTCTCTGCTGCTTTCATATCCAAATATATGCATAGTAACTCGGCTATACCCTCTCTTCACCTTTTCCACAATTACAATAGCAATTATGCTTTTGCCAATATTCTTTAATTTATCATAGATGTTGTATTTTTATCATAGATATTGTAATGCTGGTGCAATGATGCTATGGAAAATGCTTAAGGTAGGAGCTTGGCAAGATGAAATACTATTCTGAGGAATCCTCCATCACAAATTTCAGACACTTGAATCAGGAGACATTGGAAACATTTAGGGATTTTTGCAGAATAGCTAGAATTCCCGTTAACTTAAAAATCACTTTCTTCTGTGCAATTCTTGGTGGCATAATTATTTCTATGCTTACAAATAAAGATAGTCTTTGATAGTCAAAGAATTTACAGTTCACTTTTTGCTTGTATGTACAATTTTGCTGTTAAATTTACAGTTCCATTTTAAAACACTGTAGTTCTTTTGCTTATCCTTTAAATACTTACTCTGTTCAAAACAACTAATACTATTAATGTACAAACTGTGATCTAGAACCCTAGAGATTTCGTCAGGTTGAAAAGCTGAATTATCAATGATTAAACAGTGACAAATACTAAAATGTAAACAGAAAGAACAAAATAGTTCATGTACTTACAACTGGTAAAGAATAGTGGTCTTTCCAGCATTATCAAGTCCCACAATGATTACTTTGTGCTCTGCATATACACAAAAAAAGACAAGAATAAATTAGTAGAAACAACAATAGTTATAATTCAGGTTAATCAATTTTCCTTTTTTCCTTACTGAAGAAAGCAACTGCTTGTTTATCTTATTTCAATAGCTTATACAGAATACTGGTGACTTCAACATATAAAAAAAAAAAGAAAGAAAGAAATCCCCAAAGCCTCATCCTCTCTCAAGACTACAGTCTCAGGAAGTCATTACTGGAAGTCTTCATAAAGGAATAGTTATAATACAATTGCTTCATTAAAAAAATTGAGCTTTAGAAAGAAAGTACAATGAAAAAATATAACTTACAGCAGCATATCATCTTAAGGACATCACCAAACATCCAAAGACTGCACAAAATATAAGGCTAACATTTAAGGGTCAATAATAGCCACTTCTTAAGGGACCACCATCATTCACACCGTAAAAACTAAGAGGAAGCTGTATTTTGAGTAGATCACAAAATTCCAGTGTTACAATTTCTAAACTGAAAAGTCACAGAATGACAGAATGGCTGAAGTTGGAAGCCACTTCTGGAGGTCATCTGGTTCAAGTCCCTTGTTCAACAAGGTGCACCTAGAGCCAGTCACCAAGGACCATCTCCAGATGGCTTTCGATTATCTGCAAGAATGGAGACTCTACAACCTCTCTGGGCAATCTGTGCCAGTGCTCAGGCACCCTTATAGTGAAAAAGTGTTTCCTGATGGTCAGAGGGAACCTGTGCTTCAGTTTGTGCCCACTGCATCCTGGTCCTGTCACTGGCCACCACTGAGAAGAGTCCAGCTCTGTCCTCTTTGCACCCTGTAAGGCTTCTCTTCTCAAGGCTAAATAAACAGTCCGAGGTCTCTCAGCCATTTCTCATAAGAGAGATGCTCCAGTCCATTAATCAGCCTGTGACCTATCACTGGACTCCTTCCAGTATGCCCATGTCTCTTGTACTGATGAGCCTGGAACTCACTACTCCATGTGAGTCCTCACTGGTGCTTAGCAGAAGGGAAAGACCACCTCTCTCCATCAGCTGGGAAGTCCAGCTTATACAATAGAGATCTTCTAATTTCTGCAATGTTATTTTTCCAGGCACAGGGAAAACAAAATCAAAACCAACAAAAACCCCCAGAACTTACATGCCTCTCTAGTAAATCCTTCTTAGAATTTCAAATACAGCAGCACAGCTAATTAGAATGGTGGTTCTTTTGATACACGCATGAAGTTACAAGATACTCAATCCACCTACTGACAAAAAAGCAAATCATTTGAGAGCAGAGAATTCACAAATGGATACTAGAATTAAAATCTGCATAAAAAGTATGTGAACAGGCTCCTTTTTAAAGGGGTAATATTTAAAATTCTAGGGCATTTATTTCAAAGCGTAACATGGTTCAAAGCTTAAAGACGGCCTCTAAAATACCACATTCAATCTACAAGACTTAGAACAAATTACTAAAAGGTCAGAGGAGCTATTATAAATATAAAATTGGTGGGGGGTTGCCCACAAATGGGTGGTCTAAGGAAGAATCAAGTGGTTTGTTTTGTTGTGATTTTTTTGTTTGTTGGTTTTTTTTTGGGGGGGGGAGAGGGTTTTTTGGTTTTGTTTGTTTTTTAAATCTATTTATATGGAATAACCTAAGTCTTTTCATACTGAAAGTGGTTTTAATAAAACAATCTCTTGCTTAGGACTTTTAGAGGTTTTGCTATGTGATGTGGCCTTAACAAATGTTGAAATATATTTCCTTTTATCAGTTCCCCTATGACTGCATCCTGACAACAGATTCTAAGGCAAGAACTTCTCCTGGCCTTAAATCCAGCAGTACTCTTAGCCCCATAAGCAGCAGCATCAGTAATGAATAACCTTCCCCAATAAACAAATGGTATGAAATCCTCTCTGCTTTCAACTCTTAATAAACCATGCCACATAGGTAGACTGTCCATTTCTTCTTCGAAGTCACCGAAGTTTAAAGGACTTTCAAAGTTGAAACACAGAAACACCCTTCTGTTGTTTTCAAAACAGCCATGTTGTCAACTATTGCCTGGAAGAAGATGACACTACTTCTGCAACATTCTGTTTGAGTTATTTTCAAGGAAGAAAAGGAATTCTGGTCAGGCATTACATTGCTCTTTTCCACCTTCACATCAGAATACAAGGATTTTTTTAGGAATGAATGAGAAAAGCATAGAATGAAACAGTATCAAGCTACTTAAGGTGATGGGGAAAAAAAAAATCTCCATCAAGATGACTTTTTGAAAGCCACTGAAGTGTGAATGTTTCAACATTAATTGGGAAGAAAAGGCAAAGCTTACATGTGTTACTCCATAGTTATGCAGTATTTTATACAGCAACTGAATAAGCACAAACAAGAAACAGTCAAACAAGTGTTAATTAATGTTGATTTGGGGACTGAAATAATTAGATGAAAGCATCGGTATCTCATACAAATAGCAGTTTCCACCTTCAATTAATGGCAGTTGTTTTCAGAACTGTCGTCTATGGTAATGGAAACCTCTTCACTTACAAACATACTGAAAAGCTGAATTTCTGTCTAGTTTGGTTAGATTGCAGAATTCTTACTTGTATATGTGCATTAGAGGAAAAACACGTGAACTTAAAAACTGACAAACTAAGACAGAACAGAATTTTAGCAAGACGAGCACTTGTTTACAAGAACAACCAGTAGAAGATAGATGCTACATTTAAGAGAAAGGACAATTATGGAGTAAACCATAGGCAATGATTTATGCTCATATTTGTTTTCTGTACTTACAGACTAACCCAAGTTTCTCCCTTTCACTGGCTGGTATTCAAACTCAGTTTGGGTTGTATTCATGAATATCTTCTCAGTCCACCATGTTCTTGGCAAAGGAAGAAGAAAATCCGTAACAGAGTTGCCAGAGCAGAAGAGCAGAGTCTTTATAAATCAGGTAGAAAGAGGGGAAAAAAAATAAATAGAAAAAGTAGGCATACGCAGGGGGAAAAAAGACAGTATTAGACTACTGTTCAAAAGAATTCAAAGAATTCTGTTATATCAACCATTCCTGGCAGACTGTTAAAAACAAATTAAAAAAAATTAAAGTATTTTAAAGAAAATCCCTGGCAATCTAGAATTATGAAATAAAAGGACAGAGAAAATTATCTTCTTGCAGATATTAGAAGGAAGACATAATAGGCTCTTTTCTTCACTTACTCATCTCTATTTCTCTGTGGTAAAAGGACCTAAAACTGAAGATACGATTCTCACAATTTTGTCCTTTTCTCTATTTGATTTGCAAAAATTAAAAATAAAAATCCAAATTAATGATGAACAAGGCTCTTCCAACATATTTGAAAGAAGAAAGTAATACTGGAAAGGGTTTTTGGGCCGTGAAACCCCACATCTAGTTCTGAAGAACAACAGTCTTGGAGGCTTCAGGGCTGAAGACACAATGCAGATAGAAGTTTGCTAAAGAGGAGGCAGGAGGAATAGCATTTTACTCAAATTCAAAGACATTCCAAGACAGAGATTCATTCTGCACACTAAAAGCTACCTTAGAGTCTTTTTTTAAGCACAAAAATTGCTGAAATAGGTCTTGTATTTCCAGACTTGAGTACAAGAAAGTAAAGAGACTATCAACAAGTATTTAGTAGTCACTGGAACCAAAATCCATTTGGTTTTCTAAATAATGGTCTCTGCTACCCTGATGGTACAGACTGGGAACTGTCAGCAAGCTTAAGTTAAGTAAACTGTGGAGTTACAGAAGTTCAACCTCCCTGACTTACAGCTTACCATTATTTTTCTTACAGCAGTTATTTAACACCTATAGCATTCATACAGAAAACCTAGAAGACTTTGAACAACTACCATTAAAAAAAAAAATTAAAAAGATTTAAGAACTTCTTAAAGAACCCTATCAGCGACACACACACACACACACACAAACACAAAGGAATATGGTATTGACAACTGTGAGAGTTGCCTTTATCAAGGTTGAAGACATTTACTTCTGGGTTTTCTTTATAGTTTTATTAAGACCATTAAAAGCAATCTTGACAGTATTGATGGAGTTATAACTCAAATAAGCTTTATTCAGCTATGTGTTAACACAGGCAATAAGTTAGTTACTCTACCATTTACTTGTATTACCACATGTTGCTTAGAAGACTGACATTTGAGCACTGAATTACAGCTTAAGCAGGTAATTTTTGAAGTTCGTTTTTTTACACATACTTTAAAAAGTTATTTAAAAGTTATTCAACATGAACTTATGACGCTCTATAACTAGACTTTAAATGGCTGCAGAACACAGTATTTTAAATGAAAACAACACTAGACAATGTTTTTTGTAAGTTTCAAAAATAATGAAAGAGACTTAGGAAGCCATCAGTAAGAGACCTAGAAAAAAAAAGGCAAAAGTCTATTTTTAAGCCAGCTGTTTCTCTAATAAATAAAGTAACTCTATTTCAGTTTGCACTGTTCAATTGCTACTTGATTAAAGAAACAATGTATACTGAGAACTGAAAGACATAGAAATGCTTATTGTCCTCCTTCTCTCAGGCTTTAACCTCTGCACTGAAAAGGCACAGAGAACAGAAACCAAGAGGATTAAGTAAGGACCTGGAAGAGTTCTTAGCGCTACAACCACCATCAAAAAAAAATCAGCCAAGTTTAAGGACTACTGCTAAACTCAAACTGGAAATGAACCTTTCCAAAGATATCCACCAAACTAAATAGATATGCGCTGATGGACTGTGCTCAGGGCAGGGTCTGTTAGCCTTCCTCTCTTTCATTAGTCACTGACTCGCAGATCAGCAGAGGAATCACCCAGTTTCCTTAAACTGCTCTGCACTGTAGCTTTTCTTGTTCCATAATCCCACACACAAGATTTGGAGAGTAGATGGTGGACTGCAATAGAAAAGCAGTGCATTCTGCCAGGGGAGCAGGAAAAAGATCTAAAGGCTTTCCTCTCCTAAAAGTTCCTATTACGGCTCAAAGCCACCCACTATTTTAACCGCTGCATTTTCTACTGTGAGCCAGTCTGGGTTTGCCAAAATGGGCTGAACCAACTGAAACAATTTCTGCTGCATGTACAAAGAGTTGAAACAGAACAACAGACAGATTCAACTCCCTGGAAGAAACACCCAAGCCATAGGGCTAAAACAGTTGAATACAAATGGTAAGAGATACTGCAGAAAGAGGTCAACAGATAACATCAGCCAACAGACACTTATCAGGGAATGTCTTTAGAAACAGATTAGGTCAAGCCTCTTGACTGCCCTTCCAGTACTTCATCCTTACCATTGAAAGGATGGTAAGAGAATCAAATTGCAAGAGTAGTAAAGATGATGTGTAAATTAATAAAATGACATTCAGTGACTTAGTAGGATCTAAGGTACTTTCATTACAAGGTTTTCCTGCCAGGCTGAAGTAACTCTGAATGAATGCAATTTTCTGTCCATGGCATGTTTACTCCAACGACACTGAACTCCGAAGGCACAGAAACACACAGGGCCTATTTTAAGATGTTAGTTATCTCAAGATGTTCATTTTCCAGAAAGCTACCAACACATCTTCTCCCTGTGAGTTAACAGTTTTGGCTCACCAGTAGATATTTCTTTAACTTTGTCCAGACATTACTGATCAAATACCTTTCAGATTTAGCATTTTCAGCTCAGGTATTATTCACATTTATATAAAGTGAAACAATTAATACTTGAGTGAAATGCCAAGGATTTCCTGTTCTGTATCTTCTAGCACTTCATCACACCTCCTCCCCCATGCTGTACTTGATGGAAGACAGATGGCACTTTCTAAATATTTGCTTTGTTTAACCTTTCATTTTGCCAGTATCAAATGCTCCAGACTATCAGCATAACCTACATTAGCCACGATGAACTCATGCTATGCTCCACACATATCAGAGTCTGTCTGCATCTTTGGAATATTCCCTCTATACAGTCAAAATCATTGTGTAAGCTACTGCACTAGTCTGCCTCATAAGCAGTTGCATGGGACAGCCTATGAATTCTCCAAGAAATTGTCTTAATTTGATATAACTAGAAGAGTAAGCAAATCCAACTAATTACTATCCTTTATTATTACTAATAATATTATTTAGAGGAAAATAGTTAGGTAATTAGAGAATAATTTCCCACTAGATGGGTCAAAAATTTAAGGTTAAATTTTCTAAGATGGAATTTCAATTTCAGCCACGAAAACAAGCTTAATTTATTCTCTATGGTCACCACAAGAAGAGGGGGCAAAAACCCCCCAACAAACCAAACCAAAGAGAACAAAACAAGATCAAAATACACCCCAGAAGCCTCTCACTGGGATAAAAGCCAAATGGCAAGTATTGCATGGTACTGCCTCATCTATCTTAACTGTGATACTAATTGTCATTAACATTTTAAATGTGTGAAAAATAACTTTCCTTTCAGGAATTAATATACAGTAACAAAGACAATGTGTCTTCCACTAATAAAATGAAATCAACGTAATCTAACATTGTCATGTACTAACAAAAAAAAAAATAAACCACAAACCAAACCAAAACCACAAACAAAAACTAAACATGAAACTGCTCCTCTTCCTTCCTTCCTGAACGTAAATATTTACATCATAAGGTACCATACAGACCAACGTTAAAAGCCACCAGAAGTTATCTCCTTATCACTTTCCTGCTCATAGACATCTCTTCCGAGTCCTTTACGAAAGGAGTTTTAGATTGTAGTATTTGAAGAAAACCAAGACAACACTAAACAGTTTTCTGGAGAATAGGGGAAACCTTGAATATTACCAAATGGGCTTTCTAGTTCAGAAAAGTAAGAATTTTCAAATCAACAAGAGCAACAAACTCAGCGGGCTCCGTCAGAAGACTTCAGGAATGATGTGCTGGGATGGTATATGTGGGGGAAAGAGAAATGGTCTGGATCTCCCTCCCACTCCCATCCCATGAAAAGATTGATACACAGCTGTTAACATATACACACACTGAGGCTTTGCTCTTATATTCATGGAATTAGAATGAGTTATGTCCATGTACAGTGATAAAACCATTGAAGAGTCACCAGGCGTACCTGCTTCCCAAAACTTGCAAAATTGTATTAGCAACAAAGCCCTGCACAAAAAAGCTTAATTGCATTTTGAGTAAGTAAGGTGGGAATGAAGCATGCACTTGGAAACCTTATGAGAGAACAGTAACATTAACATCAGTTTGCCGACTCCAAACTCAGGGCCTTGATGAAAAATGATACAAACAATAAACTCCTTGACTATTTTATTTTCTAACCAAAGAAGGCTAGGCAAACAAGATTCACTAAAATAAACAACAGGTAGAACAATCTTAGATTTCAATAATAACTAACTGAGCTAAGGGTGGTGGCAGCCACAAGTTTTGAACTCTGGATTAGAGCATGAACCACTACTGTGGGGTTGGGTGCAGTAGGTAAGAGAGAACGGAAAGCTATCCCCTTACGACCTCTTTATTCTTGGCTTCAGAAGTGATTTTCATGGGTCAGTAACTGTGTTTAACTAGCATCTTTGCCAAAACACAAACAGATCTTTACCTCAAAGGCCCAAACACAAGTCTGGCAAGGGATTCTTTTGGGTTGGGTTTTTTTTTTTTTTTTGGGTTTTTTTTTTGTGGGTTTTTTTTGGTTTTTTTTTTTTTTTTGGGGGGGGGGGTATGTTCTTGATACTGAAGATAAAAGTAGCATGATTTTTAACAATAAACCCCGACTTCAAAACGGAGGGTCTGCAAACACGAACAAGACCTTCATCGTCCATCAAAGCTTCAGACGCTACAACGGTGGAAAAACGTGCCCGAGGCAGCATTCGCTACTGTGCGAGCTCGGGAGCACACCGCTTCAAGGGCTCACCGGGCTAAACGAAGTGTTAGGAGCCGCCAGAGAGGAAGACGGGGAGGAGGGGAGGTGACCCCCTCGATGAGAGAAACAAAGCGACTCCGAGCATGAGGCGCCGCGAAACCGGCACTCACAGCGCCATACAAACAGAAGCCCAACTTTTGCCCGGGCACGGCACGGGTTTCAGAGAAAGCCCGGAGGCCGCAGCAGGCCCCCAACCCCCGAGGGCTGCTCACGGCCCCCTC